TCGTTGCCATCATTATATTAGATGTTTCATATGCACTAACGTTCATCCTCACAAGAACTTCAGAACGCAGGTAGCATTATTCCTGGAGTGGTCAAGCCATTTGCCAAGGTCACACAGCTGATAAGCGACTGACCCAGGAATTGAACCCTGCCTGATGTGAATCCCAACGTGCTCTTTCTGAAGCCCCAGGACCCAGAGAGTCCAATACAGATAACACTGATGATCAGCCTTTCCAAGGACTAGTTTTCTGAACCATGACAAAATGCCACGAGGCTGGAATTTGTAGCCCCAGGTCTGAGACATCTGCATTAAGGGCCTCACACCGCTGTGGGTTTGGTTCTCCCTCAGATTAAATCTTGTTTGCCCCTTTGCCCCTGGCGACAGTTTGTGCACCATGATCACTATCTGCGCAATAGTTATCGGATACTGAGATAAAGGGACGCTCTACCTGTCTGTGTGTAATAGATCCCCAGGCCTGCCTAAGGAAGTGAGCAGGTGCCCAGCCCCAGCCAGTAGCTCTAGTTCACACAGGGGTTTTAAAAACCCAAGAGGTAAAAATATAGAGAATATTGTCTTTTTCAAATCTCCCCCTAACACCACAAAGTGCAGTGGTGCTTGACAAGAATGTGAAAAATTTGAAAAAAAGATAAAGCAGCTCTATTGTGAAAACTGTTTTAATGACCTCCATAGATCAATTTTAGAGGTACAGGAACAAAAATTACTTTCAAATAAATAACTCATTAAGGTTTTATTTGTGCTAGATTCCCAATCTAACGAGGTTTTCCTTTGCTGGAATTCAAATGAACTCTCCCATCTTGCGCTGTTGAATCCTGTAAAATGTTCGGAGGTTGGGACTGGTTTGTGTTGGTTAAACCAAGCTTTCGGTTTTGTTTTTCATTATGCTAATCAGTTTTTTCCCAGCTGTGTTGCAGTGTAAAGTCATCTACACAACACTGGCCTTTTCTGTGCACGAGAAGGTTGAGAACTTCAGACAGCTCACTCTGTTGACAAGAAGCCTCCCAGTCTGTTCTTGAGAGTAATGACCTGCAGGGGCAGAAGTAAGACGATCCGTTGCGGGTCAAAGCGATGATTCTGGCAGGCTTTGAAGAGCACGAGGGTTATGTTGTGGGGGAAACTTCAGCAAATCTCATAAATGGAGGTCCTCTTCAGCAGATTGGACATTTCAGTTCTTAATCACTTGGATTTGAAGGCAGATACTGGGGTGGTTTGGATTTGTTTGGGGGGAGAGGGTTGGTAAAATATTAAAATTAGACTTTTGTCTATGTAAATTTGGCACTATAATTAAAATAGAGTTTGATTTATGTAGTTTTTAAAAAGCCCTCTATAGAGCAAAGTGAGACCACAGTGATGCTATTTTGCATCATAAATTTCTGGAATGCAGGACAGGCCTGTCTTGTCTTACTTGGTATGTTGTTATATGATATTGATTTGAAAATGCAAAGTTGGACGATAGAGGCTAACTTATGACTCTTCAGTACTAAAGGCAACGTGTAGACCTTATCTCTCTTGAACTCAAAAAGTTATCTTATTTTTTATGTTAACATTCAACAAAAGTGACTTTTTTGGGACAATTCTATGTATTTTAACATAGTAGAGATTCATCTAACTACTACCACCATCAGGATATAGAACATTTCCATCACCCCCCAAAACTCCTTTGTGCTATGCCCCTACCCCAACCCTTGGCAACCACTGATCAACTCTCCTTCACTATAGTTTTGTCTTTTGAAGAATGTCATATAAATAGAATCATACAGTGTGTAACCTTTTGAGACTAGCTTCCCTCACTCGGCATAATGCCCTTGAGAACCATCCTAATTGTCGCATGTATCAGTAGTTCATTCCTTTTTATTACTGAGTAGTATTCCATTGTATGGATATACCGCAGTTTATCCATTCACCAGTTGAAGCACATTTGAGTTGTTTCCAGTTTTTACCGAGTGTGAACAGAGCCACTAGAAACATTGGTGTACAGGTTTTTGTATGAATGTGAGTGTTCATTTCTCTTAGAGTAAGTACTTAGGGATTGCGAGATCACATGCTAAGTATATGTTTACCTTTGTAAGAAATTGCTAGACAAAAAATTGCTGTTTTCCAGAGTGGCCATACCATTTTATGTGCATTGTATCAGCATAGTAGGAGAGTTTCATTTGCTCCATATTCTCACAGCACTTGGTTTTGTCAATATTTTGTACTTTAACCATTCTCATAGATGTGTGGTGATACCTCATTGTGGTTTTAATCTGCATTTCCCCAATGGCTTAACGGTTTTAGATGTATGTGAGTGTTGATAAGTTCTCTGGGTTCTCAGATATTTAATATCTGTTATTCTCTCTCAGAAGTGCTATAGACAGATTTGAAAAATATTTCTGTGTATGAAGCAATTATCTGTTACTTAGAAAGTTGACAGAGCCTGAATTTAGGGGCAAGACAGAATTATATCCACTAAGTAGAAGTTACAAGATAGTAGATTTGAATTTCAAAAGCCACAATTATCTGAATATTCCTTATGCTTTCATATTTCCATGAGCTTAACAATTTTCCAGTGCTCTTCATTATTTTCTGAGGGTCTGAGTTTTCATCTTATGTAATTTCCCTGTACCCTGAAGAACTTCCTTTGGCATTTCTTTAATATAGATCTGCTGGCGATGAATTCTTTCAGTTTTCGTTTATCTGAAAATGCCTTTATTTTGCCTTCATTCTTGGAGGATATTTTTCCTGGCTATAGAATTCTGGATTGAATTTTTTTCATTCGGTACTTTAAAGATGGTACTTCTGGTCTCCATGGTTTATGACAAGAAGTCAGCTGTTAATCAGATTGTTGTTCCCCTGTATATAATATGTCGTTTTTCTCTTGCTGCTTTCAATATGCGTACTTTTTCTTTTGGTTTTCAACAGACAGGTTATGATATACCTTGAGGTGGGCTTCCTTGTGTTTATTCTGCTTGGTGTTTGTTTAGCATTTTGTAATTTTACATTTCTGTCCTTCGTTGAATGTGGGATATTTGGGGCCATTATTTTTCGTTTCTGCCCCATTCTCTCTCTCCGTATATTCCAATTAAGTGTATGTTGGACTGTTTGAGATCCTCTAACAAGTCCCCAAGGCTCTGTTGTTTTCTCTTTCAGTTTTTTTCTCTGTGTTTTTCGCTTTGGATCCTTCCTATTGATCTATCTTCAGGTTTGCTTAGTGTTTCCTTTGTCATTTCCATTCAGCTGTGAAGTCCATTCAATGAATTCTTTATTTCAGAAATTGTATTTTTCAATTCTAGAATTTCCATTTGGTTTTTTGTTTCTGTTTCTCTGCCACTACTTCCCACTTCTCTGAAATTTTCATTCATTGAAAATAAACTTTTTATACCTGTAGAGGATAGTCATAATCTGTTTTAAATCCTTATCTGTTAGTTCCAATGTTTTGTTCATTTTGGAATTGAACTCAACTTATTGTCTTGTCTCTTGAGAATGTGTTCCATTGCTTAATTCTTAGTGTGTTCTTAGTAATTTTGAACTGTATCCTGGACATCGTGAGTATTAAGTTGTGGAGATTCTGTGTTCTGTTATTTTTCTCTGATGTGTGTTATTTCCTTTGTCTCTGTGGATATTTTTCTTGGCTGGGCTTGACCTGCAAAGTCTGTTCTGTGCATGTGTGATTCACAGTCAGACACATGAACAGGCAGAGTTTGCGGATCCCCTCTCTGGCCTTTTCCGTTCTGGGATTTCCTCACTCTCTTCGTTGTTCACAGTTTTCAGACTTCACTTTTTGGTTTTCTAAGAACAAAAAGACTTCGGGGTTTTCCACCTGTGCCCTCACCCCCATTGTGTGCGGCACTTACCCTTGGGCTAAAAGCTGTGAAAAAGGAAATTTACTTGTATAGTTTCCCATCTGCCCTCCTCAAAGTGAGTGTGAACTCTCCACCAGAGTCCACAAGCCAGCGTCCACTCTCCAGTACCTTCGGGTAGTTGTTTTTGTATAATTTCCAGGCTTGATAATCGCTTTCTGCAGGGGGGTGCTGTCTGAGAGGGGTCTGTCATACCCGAAAGCAGAAGCAACTCCATGATGCTTACATTTTAGTTGGGAGATGAAGACAATAAACAAACAAAAATATCATTATAGTTCATAATAATGCCATGAAAGAAATAAATAAGATTGATGTGATCAACAGTGACAACTTTAGGTAAGGTTGTTAGGAAGGTTCTCTGAAGAGCCCCCATTGAGTTGAGACCTAAAGAATAGAAGAATTTGGTCATGCAAAAATCTGGTTGAGAAATGTTTCAACCAAAGGCAACAGCAGATATAAAAGCCCTAAGATAGGAGAGAGAGGCCACTGTAGCTGAATCATGGTAAGTGAAGGGAAGAATGATATAAAATGAGGTTGGAGAGGCCAAGAAGCCCATGAAGGGCCTGGTAGACCTTGATAAGGAATTGGGATTAAGGATTCTATACAAGGAACTATGATTACCATGGCTGTAAGGGTATGCTTACTAAAATATTTGCCCACTTATGTTGCTTTGTCAGAGTAGCCAATCCTTAGAAGTCTTGACTGGTGGATGGTGCGGCCTTGTGATTTTCTGACCTACCTGTCTGTCAGTATTGTTGGAACAAAAGCCAGAAGACCATGATGCGGTGCATTTCTATCATGTGTAGGAAGTCAAAGTAGATAAAGTCTAATATCCCCTCTACCTCTGAGGTTCTCTGACATCATGGAAAAGAAAATAAGTTGGCCTGGGCCTTGAAAAATATAGTGGCAATTAAAACCACAGTTTAAAAAGAAATGAAAAGCACAAACAGAGAGAATGAAAAGACTATGGTAGAATGAAGCACTGTAGTCTGACGTAGCAAATGGTTTCACGTGATTTCTGCAGAGAGCAGTCATCTTTGGTTTTTAAATGTTATTATGTTATAGCAATGTGCCAATATATGTGTATGGGTCTGATCTCTCTGGGGGGAGTTTGGACTCACTTGTTCCCTTCCTTTGGTTTAGATGACAGCGCTTCCGCGGCCAGTAGCATGGAGGTAACAGACCGCATCGCCTCCCTGGAGCAGCGAGTCCAAATGCAAGAAGACGACATCCAGCTGCTCAAATCGGCTCTGGCCGACGTGGTCCGGCGGCTGAACATTACGGAGGAGCAGCAGGCCGTGCTTAACAGGAAAGGACCTACCAAAGGTAGGCCTTGTAGACACCCGGGAACAGCCGTAGAACAGTCTCATTGGAGATTCTTGCCCTGGCAGATACCTTGCGCTCTTGCATATTGACAGAGAACCAAAACATAGAGTAACAATGAAGCAGTGTTAGCATTGTCCAAATCATCACACAGAGAGGGACAGTACTTTGTGGCTGGACGTTGGTGAACTGTATCGCCCAGCGGTGTACGTTTGTAGGTGGTCAGTAAGTGCTTGTTGAGTCAAGGAAGGAACGTCCACAAGGGACTGGGGAACAATTGTTTATCAAGACTCGGGGATAGAGTTAACCTGCAAAAAAATTCACAATTCTTTGGGTGCCTTTTGGAGGCCGTTACACCTAAAAACTTTTGATAACTCTCATCTCTGTCTCTGTGCTCAGCTTATACTGTCATTCATTTCGGCACAGCAGACAGTTAGTTAGTCATATGCCGCATGCGGAGCTCTGACGGAGGGCTGGGGGCCCAGCGAGGACAGGCGCCTCCCTGAGGAGCTCAGAACTCTGAGGTTTATCACTGATTTTCCCCACTTCTAGTTCGTAAGCTCCTCCTGGGCAAAGCCTCCTGTTTCTTTTGAGTCTCCTTCTCTGCTATCCATGAGAACGTAGCCTACTACAGAATTCCAAATCTAGTGGATTTCTGGCAAATTTAAATCATCATTTCGTTTCCATATGGCGCCTGGAAACAAAACATAAAAAAGCAGTATTTGTGTTTTAAGTAACTTTGTAGTGACCCTCTTCTTAAAATTTTGGAAAAACAGCGCCTCGTAAAAGCTTCTATCCTGCTGGTTAGTACCCTGATGTCTACTCTCCACCCACGGGCATTGCTCATCTTTTGCTGGAATCGCTTTTCCTCGTGGCTAACTCTAGAAAACGGAATTCATCTTGGCTGTAACATTCCTTTGGTTAGAACATTTTGAGATTGTGGCGTGTAAATGTCCCTTTAAAATTAACTTTTTTTTTTTTTTACTTAGATTTAACAAATTATTTCACAGTTACCATATTTTCCTTGGAGTCAGGAGAGGGTACTGTCTGATGTTGCATATGTTCGTTTTTTCTGAAGTACTTGGCTGCATTTTCACACATCTGTGGAAAGAAATCTATTTCTTGTGCTTCAGGGTAATTATCACCAGCTCTGTGTGAGATATACATGCTGGGCGACGTCTACATGTTGGTTAATCTTTTTAAGTAATCTTTTTCTCCTTTTAAGTTACAAAGCGATTAGAGTATTTTAAATAGAAACCACGTTATTTTATGTATTCTTGACCTACTCAGCTTTCCAAAAATAATTCTGATGACTACCGTACCCTAAAGGGTACATTTGAAGTAGTTGCTTTATATAAAACCTCAGACTTCTAAAACGTCTTTATTTTTAGAAAATTAGAGGAAAAAATAATATAAAAGTCTTGCCCAGGAGTTTTCTTTTCTTCATTAAGAGTAAAGTTTGATTTTTATAAAACTTTTAAGAGAAATAATTTTTTTCATAGTTATATCTGATGTTTCTTTATAATATTCTTTTCATAAGTGATAATAAATCAAAATGTAATAGCCAGAAGGTCACACCAAGAAATAGAAAAATAGTCCTAGGAAGTCAGTGAGTGGGGTGGCGCCTCCCGAATGAAGTGGGCGTGGTTTTCTCTGCTTCCTACGCAAGTTACTTGGAGGAGCAGAGAAGCAGAGGAGGAGAGCGACTCCATCAGGTGGTCTGGGTTGCCGCTTCTCTTTCAAAGAGTGCTGTGTTGGTACGGCATGTGTACCTCTATCTGGATGGCTGGCACGTGGTAGCCGTGGTTTGGTTGGGGGATCTTGTAGACAAGATGGATTTTAGGCAAATCTCCTCTGGTTTATAAAAGCCCACATTATTATTATTATCACTTTACAATATTTTGGCTTGCTGTCCTAATACAGACGTGAAGTAGACTGGACACATGGCATTCTAATTGTTAAATATTAACTGATTTTTTTTTTCCCCAAGGTTAGGGCTCAGTGTTTTGAGTTTTGGGTGCACCTCATTGTGCTGTTTGCCCAACGACAGGGATGGCTGTGCCGCAGAGAAACAGGACACCTTGGAAGGCAGTGAGCATTCAAAGTGCTCCGTGTGGTTCAGCGCAAAGCAGGTGCCTGGAAGCACCGTGTCTGTGCCAGAACCTTCTAATCGTTAGCCTGCGGGGTCCGCTCACTGGGCTCAGTGTGGCCTCCAAGGCCATGGGTAATAATCCTAATTCCTTTCCACAACAGGACTTAGCTTGTTTGAAGAAAGTTATCGTGACCTCTAAGCTTTGACTTACTTAATCATTCTTCGTTTGACTTAACTCTTATAACGATGAGAACTGCACTCTAATGAGAATAATGCACTAACAGATCAAGTTCAACGCTTCCTGAGACGAGGGAAAGATTGTGGGCAGTCCCATAGAATGCTGAGCCCGTGGACTTGGAGTTTATGTAGGGGGAACTCTGTCTCAGACTCTGCTATTTTGGTAGTATTTTTCTGTCCCCAGGGTTGGCCTTTTATACTAATTATCTTACTCTTCTTAACCCAGTGATACTGCCCTGGGTCTTAGGATCTATTCAGTCTCTACCCAAGCTCCCCAAACTTTGCTATTCTCCTTTTCCTTTGCCTAGGAATTTTTTCAAATATTAAGAATTGGCTGCCGTGTCATGCATCTTAACCGTAGAGAACCTCGGCCTGCCAATTTGCTTTGTTCGTGTTGAATTTACTTAGATGGGAAGATTTGGGGTGTTTTGATTATACTGAGCGTGGGTTACCATATAGTAGAGAAGAGAGAATCAAACAGTTTATGGAGGCACGTGTTCTTAAAATTCTTGCTGATATTAAAGTTTTTTCAGTGTCCTGGTTGGAGAGGGGGCAATACTCACTGCTAACAGAGTGCAGTGAACAGAACCTCTTATATATTGCTATTGTGAGTGTAAATACAGAAAAATGCCTGATGAGTAAAGGCGTTCGTTGCAGCATGACGTACAATGGAGAAAAATTGGGTGGGAAACAATAGAGGCAAAGCAAGCAATAGGGGTGTGGCCAGAACACTGTGGCACCTCCTGTGGTTGATGCTGTGTCATCTTTAAAAATGTTGGTGGTGTTGGTAACAACAGGGAAAGTGTTTATGCATGACGTTAAGAGTAACAGAATATAAAACTGTATACACTGTATAATTTCACCTAAATAGACAGAATCTATGCCAAGAAGACTGGAAAGAAGTATACCAAGACTTATCATTGGTTTCTTTTTTTTCTGAGTGGCAGGATTATGATTTTTTTTTTCTTTTTTATACTTTTAGTTGGTTTCTAAATGTTATTTGGTGTGTATTCCTTAATAAGCAGAAGAAATTTATGTTTTAAAAATGACTCCTTTCGGGGGCTGGCCCAGTGGCATAGTGGTTAAGTTTACGTGCTCTGCTTCAGCGGCCCAGGGTTTGCACGTATGGGTCCCAGCGCGGACCTACGCGCCACTTATCAAGCCATGCTGTGGCAGCGTCCCACATACAAAATAGAGGAAGATGGGCACCGTGTTACCTCGGGGACAGTCTTCCTCAGCAAAAAAAAAATAAAAATGACTCCTTTCTTCCCACAGAATCTGATCTGCTCTGCACTGAGATCAACAGCAGGGCTCAGAGCAAATGTCCGGAGGCTGGAGTTTGCTCACGTGTGTTCTCTAGAAGACAGGAGTCATGGTGTGGAGTTAAATTCATACTAGATCCATTGTATACACGCACAGCTCATTTCCATTTCAGTGCTAGGGAGTGTTGTAGGATTTTAATGTCAAATGAAGGTGAAAAGATAGTAATTGTCCCGTGTATCTGGGATTGTCTGCTTGTTATGCATTAACCAGCAGGTAGTTCCTATTTCTCATTTTAAATCTTTCTTGTGTGTTCAGACTGTAATTCAGCAGCTTGCCTTTTGGAAAACTTTAATATACCTTTTGCAAACTTTTTTATTGGTTATATTAATAGCCTCATTAGTTAACAGATCAGAGAATTACTAAATATAACCAAAAACCGTCTGGTGGAGATGCTGATAAGCAAGTAGGTTCTGCTGTCCGGGGATATTGAAACCTAGCCTCAGAACTTAGCCTCTGCAACCACTGTTGAAAGCAGATTATGGATCATCTTTAAGGAGCCTCTGCTATGTTAACACTTAACCCCAATATTCAAAATAATACTTGTAGCTACCATTGATTGATTGCCTAGGTGCTGGACTTTGCAAGAGATATTTTGAATATATTAGTTCATCTCACCTCTCCACAGTTCTTTGAGGGAGGTATTATTATGCCCATTTTACACATGAGAAGCAGTCTCTAGGAGATTAAATAATTTTCCCCAGGTTACACAGCTAGTTAGGGGGAATCTGGGACTGGACCGCAAGGCCTGGCTGGACATGTGTCCTTTCTGCCATCCGTGTTGCTTTGCTGTGCATGCTTCTGAGCAATATTATTTAAATTAGCATTCAAATCAAACCAAATATTTAAAAATGAATAACCATATGACTTGAAATGAGAGTTCCTTTCTCAAGGTTTAATTTGATTTGCAAAGTATCCCAAATACAATAGATCATATTCAGCACATAATTGTGTGAAATATTATGGTCCCTTCATAAATTTTATTAGATAGGTGCAACTAAAATTAAAAATTTTTAGGCTCTTTGTAGTGAATGAAATTAGTGAATAATTAACTCAGTTCTTTATCCTGGTTAGCCAAAATTAGAGAGCAGTTTTTTTCCTCTCTCTCGTCTCTTGTGCTTTCTCATTATCTTTTGCCTTACAAATTGGTTAATTACAGAAAATAACTTTTGCTTTCTTTTAGACAGAACACACCATAGTTTCTTCCATTTTTCTCATTAATTGTCATCCCCGGTTTAGATAGGCGTTCTTTAGTGATTTATAGAAAAAGTTTAGTAGATATATTCAGTTTTTTAAAGACTAAGAAAGATTTTTTTTAAACTTTGCATTATGAAAATGTTCAAATGTATATAGA